TTAGATTTCAGAGATACAGACGAAACAGATAAAGCCCCTGTCTTTCAAGTGTCTTATATTTTCATGAGAGAAGACACAGTAAAAGATGGCGGTGTGCTAGTTAAATGCTAAGGAACTTGTTATCAAATAAAGCAGTTGGGGGTTGGGGTTATTGGGGTGAAGGGTGGCAGGAGAGGAGGATGGAGGAAAGCGTAGGGCCCCGAGGCTCGAAGGTGGTGGGATTTGCTTTTGTTCAGTTGTGAGGGTGACGACGGAGAGGAGACACTGGGTTCTCAGGGTATCACAGCACAAACTGTGTTTCGCAGGATGCTAGGGGAGAACTTTAGATTTCTTGGCTCCAAGACACTCCTTAGAAATGCCACCAAAGCCGGGCGATGGTGTAGCACGCCTTTAATCCCAGCACTTGGGAGGCAGAGGTAGGTGAGTTCGAGGTCAGCCTGGTCTACAAAGCTATACAGAGAAATCCTGTCTCAGCCCCCGCCCCCCTTAAAAAGAAATGCCACCAAAGGTGTCTCATGGACAGGTGACTGTGTGGGTTTGAAGGTCAAGGGGTGTGAGCTAGATTTAAACCCGAAGGTTTGCAACATAAGGGTGCAACTCAGGGTGTGAATGCATGAGGACACCGGAGCAAGGTGTGTGTGTGTGTGTGTGTGTGTGTGTGTGTGTGTGTGTGTAAGAGGAGCTCCTGGGGTACAGCATCAGGAAATTGAGAGAAGAGGACCTGGTGTAGGGGACTGAGAAGGAAAGGAGACTTAAAGGTGGTCCTTAAAGTTGACAAGGGAAGGTGTATCACAGAGGACAGTGTGATCAGGAAAGATGGTGGCTAGGGGACTGGTCATTCACCATCTTCTCCCTAAGCACACTGAGGTCACTGGTACTTTTCTCTGGTGTTGAAATTTCACTGCCAACATAAAGTACTAATCTGTGGCATTAACACAAGGTGCTTAGGTCACAATAACTCTGCTTCGGAAGCACATGATGCCATTATTTTGGAAAAGTGTTAGTTATAGAGAGGGGGGTCTACCTTCTCTATCTCTGTGTGTCGTCTCTCCACGTGGTGCCCTGGAAGGTTCTAATGCATCAGGATGCATGTACCCGAAGGTAGATGCCAAGTCAGGTTTGTTGAGTTCTAATTTATATAGAATGACATTCACCTTCGTTGGATCTACAGTTCAATGAATTTTGCCAAGCCCACATGATTTGGTAAACACCTCTTCAATTAAGATACACAGCATGTCCATCATTGAAAAAGTTCTCATGTTCCCTTTTTGTGAGTTTTAATCTATTCCTTTGTCATTCATACATAATTTTTATTTCTTTATCTATACAATACATCTCTAATTTGGATCAATTGATTTCTGCTTCCTGTTTTTCTTCTTTTTTTCAAATCATTTAAGCAATTTTGATTACTTTTTCTGTGTCAGTTTTAGGATAATCTTGTCTATTGCTACTAAAAATAATGTAGAGATTTTGATAAGGATTGCATAAAATTAGTATGTAAATTGGGGATTAATTTGCCTCTTTGCTGTGTTGAATCAAATCCATGGTATTTCTATTTATTACTATTATTTTTAATATTTTGTAAATTTTTAAAAATGTTCACATAAGCCCTGTGCATATTTTGTTGTTGATGATGTTGTTTGAGACAATGTTGCACTCTGTAGTTCAGGCTGTCCTAGAACTCACTGTATACTCCAGGCTGGTCTCAAACCATGGCAGTCTTCCTAAGTGTCTCAAGTGTTAGGGTTACACGTGTAAACCACTATGCCCAGCTTGAGTCATTTACATGTTCTGTTTGTTTTATACCTAAGGATATTTGAGGGGTTGTAAATGATATTGTATGCTAAATTTTTATTTCCTTATGGTTATGGCTTTCATGTAGAAATACAATTAATTTTGTATATTTATCCTATATCACACAATCTTGATGAATTCATTAGTTCTAAGAACGCTTTAATAGATGCCTTGGAATTGCCTGTGTACACCATCATATGAAATTAGAAATGGTTTTATTTCTTCCTTTATGAGTTTTCTTGACTTATCACTGGCTGTACCTTGCAGAGCGACAGTGATGGAAGGTACCCTTGCCAAGCTCCAACGACAGGGGACAGGATTCAGTTTTTCACCGCCCAGTATGATCTTAACTGTGGATGTTTGTAAAAAAAATCAAGTTGAAGAAGTTTCTTTCAATGTCTGTATTTCTCACAGTGTTTTAAACTCTGATTGCTGCTGCAATTTTGTCAGAGGTTATGTCTGTATTGATGGATGTGGGCAACTGATTGCTTTCTTTAGTCTGTTAATGTAGTGGATTTCACTAGTTCCTTTAAAAATATTGACCCATTTGAAAATATTGACTTGCCTCACTTGAGTGAACTTCATTTGTCCATAATGAGGAATTGTTTTTATGTACCAATGAATCCTGTTTGCTAGTATTTTACTATGGATTTTGAACCTATTTTTGAGAAATATTATTTGGTCTGCATTCTTTGACTTCTTTTGTTTTAGACTTTTGAGGTCTGGTGTTGGTCTCAGGGTCATACAAGCTTCACAGAATGTGCTGGAAAGTGACCTTCCTCTTACAATCTGGAGGAGATGGCACAGGATTGAGTTAGCTCTTTTTATGTTAGAGTTTTCCAGTGAAACAGTCTGGGTCCAGAGCTTTCCTTCTGAGGGAATTTTTAAAATAATGAATCCAAATTTCTTAGTGATTGTAAAGATGGTCCGCTTTTGTTGCATTTGGGGGCGGTAGTAATTTGGTTTTGAGGATGTGGTCCGTTTCATTCACGTGTAAGTCTGTGCGTGTGCAGCATTTCCTGGCCATGCTTTTGAGTTCATAGGTTCCATGGCGACATCCACGTCTTCACATGTGTTGTTTTTCTTTCTTCCCCACAGTCCTGTTAGCATTCTGTCAGTTGTGCTGACCCGCTCTCCCCCACCCTACCCGTGCAGATCTCATGCTGCAAGTTCCTCTCAGCAATGCTCTAGCTGTATTCCCCCAGAGCCCACGTGTTCTACTTTAATCAGTTCAACGTATTGCTTTTTATTTTGCTTGAAACTTTCTCTTTGAACTGTGGACTTTTAGAGCTGCAGAGGAGTTCAAAAATTAATATGAAGCAGTTATTTTAAGTAATGAATGGAAGATTAAGTACACGATAAGCAATGAAATGTGCAGTCAACATGAGAAAATCTCAAAAAGCATGTGAAAAGATACCAAAAAAAAAAAGAAACAAAATAAAACCAAGTGTCACATTCTTTTCTTAAGTGTGTCCTTACATGTATTTAAAGTATATAACATTCTGAGTGGTTATCTAGGAGCCGGCTGGCGGGACAGAAAACTCCACCTAAAATAAAATCTTAAACTGTCTCCAAAAGAGAAAGAAAGCGTAGAATGGTCTTCATTCCCAGAGCACAGACTGTGTATCCAGTGGGAGGAAGTGCAAGAGTAAAAGGCCGGAGAATTCAGAGTTTGTCTTTCTAGTAAGTGTGCTCTTGCGGCACCCTGGAGTCCCCTGGTGACAAAGTCTAGACAGTCTTCCATGCCAGCATTTCTTCTGTGGCAGAGGAAAAGACAGTCACAGAATAATGCACATTTGCTTAAGAGAGATGAGGAACCCCAGCAGATATTAAGACAATAAAGCTGGGAGAGCCTGTTTTGGAGTTGGCTCAACCCCAGACATGCCTTCCGTCATCGTCGTAGTCATCATCATCATCATCGTCGTCATCGTCATCGTCTGTTATGTCTGGTCCTGCTGCTACTGGGAGCATCTACCCTACTGTCTGTGCCCTTCCACAGCCCAGACTTCATACACAGCAATAGGTGCTAATGCCTGTGTGCCACTCTGCCTTCTGGAATCTGGGGCAATGCCTAGAGCTCACAGCAAACTGACCTCTAGTTTTGAACCAGCAGCAAAATATTTGTGTGTACATTTGTTCTCCAAGTACTTTTCTATGCATTGTCTCATAGGGAAAGGTCAAACCCAGGTATACAGCGGTCCTCTCTAAAGAGGCAGCTGTGGAACAGTGGGCTCTGGGATGCAAACGAGAGTGCCTGAATCCTTAACCAATGGATGCTTTTCTTTGGTGTTGGTGGGTTTTACTGAGATGTGGCTTGATTGTGTTGCCTAGGCTGGCCTGAACCTCGCCACTCTTCTGAGTCCTGGCATTACAGGCATGCACCACCGTGCCTGGCTTTTAATAGATGTTTTATACCATTTCTTCAAGTGTAAAAAAGGAAAGAGTACCAATAACACATTAAATGGAAACCAGTTCAGATTTCTTGGGGGGGTGGAACATTCTTTGCTTCCTGAAGACATGTCTACGTAATAAAATATGGTCAAATGACCTTGTTTTAATTTATGAGTAGCATTTTATTTTCATTGTTAAAGACTTGAACTTCGATACTAACTAGTGGCCCAGTAGTCTTGCTGGTTCACTCTGTCATATCCTCTCCCCATTGTGCAGATGCAAAAGACAATAAATACGTAGGCAAAGACCCACTCTTGTCGTGAGACGTATCTCATGGTAGAACTTAAAACTCCTAGTTCCCAACCATAAAGTTTGAACCCTTTACAGTGTGTTATGGATTTGTTTGTGATGAACCTGTTTGCTTTTCTGTGGGTAAGGAAGAAAACATAGCAGTTTTTCTAAGGAAGTTAAGATATTGATGAGGTATTTATGAGTAAATTCTCCTTGAGTGTAGAAGAGAGAAAGAGAGAGAGAGTTCCATCTATAACTGAACTCCTCTAGGAGATTGAGGAATTAGCAATTGGATTGTGGTGTCAGAGCGTAAAGAGGTAATTCGTGGATGATAGAGCCAATTGCCAATCCCAAAGGCCAGTGTGCTTAAGCCCCATTTCTTTCAAAGTAAACAAAGATGCCATTATGTTCTTCAAAACTGCAAATGGATGTGGACAGAGATGTCAGTCCTGAGTGAGTTAAGTCTTCCCACATACATAGCTGGAGTAACCCTGGGTTTCTTTCTTATGTTTGCTTTGAGACAGGTTGATTGACTTATGTGCACTTTGGGAGCCTGGAGTTTTCTTGCCCTCTGCAGACTGGAGCAGAGCCTCCGCTGGGGTTGCAAAAAGCAGGCCGAATGAGGCAGAGAAGGTACGAATGGGGCCTGAGCATGAGTTGGAGGGTGGGGTGGGAGTGGACATTGTTGCCCCCCTCCCAAGCTCTTTACTTGGCCCCAATAATCTTCAAAGACTCAGCGCCTTCCTTCTCCCCAGGCATGGAAGCCAGGAGTCAGCTGCAGAGTCACAGCCCTGATGAGGCCTGCCCTCCCAGGAGGCGGTGCTGGGGCAACTATGGCTCCTGCTCTAGGAGGGGCAGTCAGCTGGCATTAGTTTCTGTCATTGTCTGTCCTGCCCATCTTAGTTGAAAAATTGGAAAACAGCTTTGTTAATGACCCTTACCCCTTTGCCTGGGCCCCGGCACCCTGGGTACTTCCTGAGCGACAGCCCTGGCATATGGGGGCAGTCTGAGAGCCCCTCCTCTGGGTGGGGCTCAGGGCCTTGGCAGATGGATGACTGTCCAGGGTGCATAGAGCGAGGGGGCTCACAGCACCGAGGCCACACCCTGCATCCAGGGTCTACATTGTTCCCTTCTGGGGAAGACTTTACACGGGACCAGCAGCACCTGCCTTCCCTGGAAAGGGTGGAGGCTGACACTCAAGTGAGGGCTTTGCTTTTATCAGAGCAACTGATGGAAGATGGCAGTCCACTGTGGGGCTGTGGGGACAGTGGCCCAGACGCCTGGGCAGCCGTTTCCTTTTGAGTTTGGTCGTTTCTGCCTTGCGTCTTTCTTGCTCTAGTGTTCTCAGAGTCTCTGTCTTCCCAGAGGCCGAGGAGGCAAAGGAAGAGATGCAAAAAGAGAGTGTGAAGGCGCCATGGTACAGGGATCCAGGCAGTCTCCACGTGGGCCCCCTTTGGACTACAGGACTGTCAGCGTAGGGCATCCCCAGGGAGATTGGCGCTGGGGCTTTTTCATCCCACCATTGTCAGGAACTGCACTTTTCTTTCTCTTCCTCTACTATACATGGAAGACTGACACAAGAGCGGTGTTAGATTCTTGGAGTGGGTGCACAGCATTCTATGGGGACAGTTCTCCAGGGGTCAGCAGAGTCCAAGACGGGGTTCAGCGTTCGGCCTCCACAGCCCTCTTTGGGAATTTTTCATTGCTACCCCTACACTCTAGCCTACGCTCCCTAGGGTCCCTTCCTTGCCTTCTTGGAGCCTGAAGCCCCCTCTATGTGATGCTGTGCGTGAGGTCCCTGATCAGAGCATGCTCAGTTGTGCTATGTCTCAGATGTGCCGGTCTCGTCAGCCCTGGCTCAGTTTTCCGTCTTCCATCGCATTCATTAAGTGTGGCATCGGGGGCTGGCTTTCTCACCGCGGCGTCACGTGTGGTGAAGGGGAAACACCTTCCAAAGGCTGACGGACACAGGAGAGCCTGAAAGAGTGCAGAGACGGCATGTGAGCAGACACGTGACTGTTGTGAGGCGAGCACCCACCTGGGCTCTTGGCCAGCAGCAATGGTCTTCCTTGTCGTAGTGTGTATTTGAGTGTGTCTGCCTGTGGGGCCGGTACTCTGCACACACATGCGGCGTCCAAGTTCTCTCACAGCAGCCCTTTGAGACAAGACCCCTTAGCACTCTGTGACAGATGCCAAGTCACAGGGGTTAAGGACTTGCCAAAGCCTTACCTGGGACAGTGCCATGCCAACATTTGGGTCCCCGCTACCCAACTCTGGGTTCTCTGTGGCTCACTTTAGGTTTGGGGCTGAGGGTGTTTCCAGCTTGGTTTGTCCAGAATTCATGAGAACACTGCGTGGTGACTCTGAGCAGTGTCCTCGGGGTCCCAGATGTGGCCCCGACTTGGTGGCTCCAGCTGGAAAGCCTTCTCGGGAAGGAGCCCTGCCCTTCAGGTCTCCTCTGTCTCTTCTCCCTTTGTTCCCAGCCCAATGCCATCTGGAGCTGCCCCGGGCATCTGCTCCTGAGCTCTGCCCTTTCCTTCTCCTCCCCTCCCAGCAGGAGGAACCTTCCTGCGCCCAGTGCCTCAGCTCATTGTCAGCTGGGGTCACTCAGAGCAGACACCTGTCCTCTGACTCATGCAGGGAAACCACCCAGGTTCCCCAGGCCTTCAATTTCACAAATGGATCCATTTGGTTAATTGCACTCCTACCCCGAAGCCCCTCTCCCTGTCAGCCACAGTCAGCCTCCTCACCACAGGCCCCGCAGACACGGAGCATGCTCAGGACCCATAGCTGTGGATACACAGGACCAGGGCTGCACACTTCACTGGGGACTCTTTAACTTTCCAAAACGGATTCCGGGCTATCAACATTTAACCACCTTCACCCATGGGTGCTGAGACAGGCCGGGGTAGGTGTGGGGTGTGGTTGACAGCGGTGACAGCCGGGGCCATCTTTGTTCAGCAGGAGCAATGCAGTCACATCTAGTCTCCTTTCTTCTCTCTTTTAAAAGCCGGTTTCACGCTGTAGTCCAGGCTGGCTTCGACCTCACAGTCTTCTCGCATCTTCCCCTCAGGTGCTGAAATAACAGCCTAGCTTCCCCTTGGCCCTTTCTGCTAACCCGAGCCCATCTCCCCAACAGAGGCTAGAGACGCTGTGTCCCACTCTGAGTTCTGATTTCTAATGTGACGGCCAGAGATCGTGGCGATGCTTCTCTCCGACACGGGAGCTGGTAATGTCTGGTGGCATACACAGCCACCAGCACTTCTCACAACCAGACTCCTGGCCAAATGGTGCGACTTAAAACTTGGGGAAAATCTCCCCCCGTCTGTTGCCTCCCCGCTTTTGCAGCCCCCCTCCCCACCTCCTGTCTTCACACTCTTCCTGCCTGTGGGAGCCTGTTTGCCGGCATGGCAGTTGGATTCAGACTGCTGTCTGCCTGGGTCGTACATGCAGAAGGCAGAGGGAGGAGAGCAAGAGGGAGGAGGGCGGGCAGTGGAAGCTCCCTCCTACCGGCTTCATCCTTTCCTTCTGTGTCCCACTTGTCACAGCAGACAGGAATTTAAAAAATGCAGCGGGGTGCCCGTCTTTGGAACAGCAGCAGCAAACCCGCTATCAGCTCCGAATGGAAGCCCCGTCAGAACTGACTCTACTGTCTCCTGATGGCCAAAGGGCTGGGTCATGGTGGAAGGAGCTGGTGGGAAGAGGAGTGTGGGCAGCTTTGGAGATGGGGGTGGAGAGCACCAAGGAGGAGAGCAAAGGTATAGTGTCTGCTCCGGGATCCTGCAGGGGCCTCCTGATCTTATTGGGAGGAAGCAGAGACTACCCATGCGGATAACCCGCCGCTGGTCCCAAGAGTGAGCGGTGGCTCCTTGGGCATCAGGCCAGAGTGGAGTGGTCTGCATAGGCATTGTGTCACGTACAGACGAATGGATGTGAAAGCCCAGGTTAACCAACCAGGTAGCAAATAGTACTCCACTGTGATTTGGCGGGAAGGATAAAAGTCTGGTGTTTCTTGAAGGGAAGGTGTGTTGGAGTTAGAGGCTTGGGTTAGAAGCTCATGGACTGACCTAACAATTGTCACAGCAGCCGTTCTGTAAATGAGTGCATGTGCCCCTCTCCTGCAGACAGGAAGACCGGGGCTCTGAGAGAAAACAGCAAGCACCTGTGTGGCTGGGGTGGGGTCTGCAATTCTAAGCCCAGGCCACACATCTCTTTAAAGTTAAATCTCCAAGTCGGGATCCGGCATATTCCCTCTGCTCTGTATGACTCCTGGCTAGTTATTAAGCCCAGCTCTGTTGTGCTCTGCACTGACACTCATTTCTGTCATGGGTCAGGGACATAGAAGACATCTCTCTTGCTCACAGAAAACTCAAAATCTGGTTACAGAAGTGAAGGTCACTTCTCATCCCCCACCCCGTGTTCTTCTATAATTTTGTCTCCTTTTTCTCTGCTAGAATCAACCTGGCTTCCAGCTGACTTTAGAACAGTGCCTGGCCGTGTGTGTGTGTGTGTGTGTGTGTGTGTGTGTGTGTGTGTGTGTGTGTGTGTGAATAGAGGTGTACTTGGGTGGATCACAGTCTGGACCTCATATGGATACCCACTGGGTGAGTCTGAGAACCTACCGTGCCATGCTGGGTGTAGGGTACGGAGGTTTGGAACAGAGAGCAGGGGACTTGCACTGCTGACTTCCTTTTGGAAAGGGAAAGGAGTGACTATCCTAGAATCACCTTCCCATTATCTCAAAATCTCATGCTCTCTTAACCTTTTATTTTCAACTTTATAATTTTTCCTTAACAATCATTTCTTTGATGCCATTAATATAAACAGGCCATTTAGTTCCTTTCAACATGAGAAACTTCATTTGTAATTTTGTTTTTCGAGACAGGGTTTCTCTGTAGCTTTGGTGGCTGCCCTGGAACTCACTCTGTAGATCAGGCTGGTCTCGAACTCACAGAGTTCCACCTGCCTCTGCCTCCAGAGGGCTGGTATTAAAGGCATGCATCACCACCATCTGGCTGAAACTTCATTTGTAAATTTAATCATTCATTTTCCTTTATGAACTATCACATTTTTATAAAACAAAGCACTCTAAGTTCTCTTGTTAATGCTTTTAATAACTGCTTTGGCAAGATGTAATTCACATACTATAAATGTACCCATATAAGGCATACAGCTCAATGATGGTGTACAGTGTTTTGTTAGGGTCTAGTGTTAGACAGCTACCAACAACTTAATTTTTATAATTGTATCACCATTCCCAGTACCCCCACCTCAAAGCCATACCATTCTTTAGCTGTAGGACTCTGTCCCTCTCTATCCCCAGCCCTGGGCCGTCACTAGCCCACCCTCCCTGCCCTTGAATCCCCTGGTTCTGGAGCTTTCGTGTATATGGAACCATGCAATAGGTGGTCTTTCTTTTCTTAGCCAGATGTTGAGATGCATCCGAGCTGCAGTGGGTAAGCACCACGTTCCAGTGAGTGGCTGAGTGGCAGTCCATTGCACGGGTAGACCGTGTTTTGTTTGCATGATGGCTGCCTCTTGTGGGGACCCCACACTTCTCTTTCTGATGAATATTAATTCCCAGGACCCCTTTCTGGTGCTCTACCTCCTGTCTCCACCTTCTATCCCATCTG